CATAACAATAAAAGTGTGTATGGCAACAAACTGATTGTTCGTGCGCTAAACATAAATCATGATCGAATATGGTGGCTTACTTATATTTACTGTTCTCGATAAATCATTGGAGGATGTTTTCGCGCGCTCTATCTCTCTCTTTCTCAGTTGTTTCTGTTCATTATTATCGATAGCAAAATTATTGTACAAACATATTTTTATCAAATTTTAACATGCGCTTCAGACTGAAGCCATCATTTAAACACCCAAGAGACGCTCCCATTGAGAGAACGATCTTTTTGATGGCTGTGTGCAATCATCTTGTGTTTTAAAATTGCATTTTGTCTCACATGATTCGTTTTTTTTTCTTTACGCATGAGCGATGAGGTCAATTTTGAAGCTAGATGCGGTGCTTCTATGGTGCAATCAATAATTAATGGTTTAAGCATCAGTCATGAAAATCTTATGGGGCTATTGCAATTGCATTATGTGATTGTATGTGTGTAGCATTGTATGAAACATGATAAAATTTCTGATTCAAATGAACATAATCGCAGCGCATGTACACTTTCCTCGGACGATGCGGATTTCATATGTATATGAACTTCACTAGGCTACAAAAAAAAAGGAATTTGCACAAATCGTGAGGAAATTATTGGTGTGTATGTGAGTCTTTTTTTCTTCATTGGTTTGCACTTGCAAAGAAGAAAACAAAGAGAGCGAAAAAACGAATCGTTCACTTATCGCAGAGTTAAATAGTGAAATCATCTTCGGGTGCTTCCAGAAATCGCTCTAAAATTACGCTTTTTATTTCGTTGTTCGTATATGTTTCATTGCATTTTACTATTTCAATTGCAACTTTTATCGGGTTCGTTACAGTATAAATGATGGTTTGTGTATTTTATGAGATCCATTCGTGTCGATTAAATTGAAAATGAAATTCAATTGACGTTTTTTTCGTTTGCGTTCGCATCAAATATAATGCTTAAATCCGCAAGTGTGTGTATGTGAATGCACTGCCAGACATGTGTGAACAAACAGAACAAAATCGAACGAACAAAACAAAGCCCAAATAGCGAATACTTAGTAATATTAACATCGTTGCTGATTTAGTAATAATCGAGTAGATAATGTTAGTTCGAAAAGAGTGTATTAAAATTGCTTACACAGTAAATAGTCATAGCGATGACCTATCTGTTTTACCATGATTATTATCGTCTTTATCATACTTGGAAAGGGTTTTGTTTTGTTTTTTTTTTTTTATGACAGTTATTACTGCTCAATTTTCCCGGCATGTTTATTATTGCATGTACTGGAACAGTATTTCTGAGACCGACACGAAAACAGTTCACAGCATAATATCCGCAACTATCTGATTCATTGACACACTCAAATTGACTTCGCGCAGAAGAAAAAAAAGAAGAAGAAGGAGAAAAAAATCTTATTTTTCTTCTCAATAAATGATGCCATGAGTGGGTTTGTTTTTGAATCAGGTAAGTTATTATATCGATATCTGACTTCTTTTTTTTTGTGTTTGCATCATTTTTGGAAGTAACACGCGGATTAAGTAAAACAGATAGAAAAAAGAAATGAATGTAAATTATTCTTGTTATTTTATCGTTGGCCGGGGGGTTTGGCCTATTGTTGAATTCTTTTATACCAAAAATTAACCGAAACACAAAATAATCTTGCTAAAATAAAGTTTTTGCGAAAATCACATTAAAATCACTTAAAATTGCTGAAACACACATTGTGGCTCACTTTATTTGGTTGTGGTTTTGCGTCATGATTTTGCTTAATAACTTTCATTGAAATGGAACTGAAATCGGCCAACGCTGAAACTGTGAAAAGTGTCTAAAACTGTGTTGATGATTGATGATGATCCGGAGATTATGTGCTGTTCTTAATAGCATCTCTTCCACAATGTCATTGCACCTCTTAATGAACATGACAGATGATGCTAATGCTTGTGCCAATCTTGTTACAACAAGACATACCACTCAAACACTTTTGCTATTTTCTTCGTAATTTCATTAGATAATTCACGCAAAAAACACGAGAAAAAGGCATAGATAAAACAATCCAAATATGTAATCGTGTATTGAAAGACACACATTTTAATCTCTACATTACAAAACTCAAAATTGCGCGAATTTTGTAATAAATTTACATTTATGGATTTGCAATCGATGTTATTTACATAAATTTTGCTACAATTTTGTGTAGAACATGTTTTTTTTTGCGTTTCGATGTGTGTGTGAGTGTGTCAGCACATTTGATCGGCGGCAGTAATGGTGGCGGCACATACAGCATGTCAACAATTCACCAAAATGAACCGTTATTATATGCTATTGATATGAAACTCAACGAAATTTTCGATAGAAATTGATGCTCACGCTGAATGTTCGGAAGACATATGAGAAGAAAAAAAAAACCAGAACGACCGCACAAATAAGTACACATAAATTATGTGAGTGAATTGAAATTGTCAAAGTTTCAATGTGAGCACAGCACGCGACGAATTTGATTGCTGCACACATTGTATACATGTATGGTTGGTGGGCCCTTTGGCACAAAAGCCGCAATTAATCAATTGGTTGTGTAACAATCACTTGTACACACTCCGATGAAACGGGTTTTCAGAAATCTTTTCTTTTCATTTGTGTTGGCTGTTTGCTATTACTATTGCTGCTGTCGCTGCTGTTGTTGTTGTTGATGTTGTTTTTGTTGTACTAGTTTTTATTTGTATTTCGTATTTGTCCCTTGCGTTAAACTTAATCCAAAGCACGTATGGAATTGGTACGCTGAAGTTGGATGCGGCCAATATTTTTGTTTTGTATTTTCTCATATTCCTCATTTGAATGCAAACGAAAACACTTATTTATGGGGCTTAGAATTTGTTTGCAAATTACGGCCAGTTTTAATTTCTCGATAAGCCAGTTTTCTCTCAATCCGCAAATATTAGATACTCGTGTATAATATGCATGCACATTGCACACTTTGTACTTGAAGCGATATGAAAACAAGTGGGAGACTTTTGGATTATTCTGTCGTTTCTATTTTTGTAAGAGAATTCTAAAACGGCGCTCAACTCGTTTCACTCCATATACTTAGCATTATTGTATTAGAAAATGAATCTCATTGAACGTGCATTGCTAAAGAGAAATTTCGAAGTGTCTAGAAACCGAATATTCGTTTGCAATTCAGGCTGCACTTCATATTATTTTTTTACTTCCTGATGTTTGGTGATGAATTGATTTACACTCGCTGAGTTTTTTTTTTAAATTTCAAAAATGCCAATCTTTCAATGGAATCGTTGCGGCAAATGTTCATTTCTTTCTTAATGCAAATAGATAACCAAATTACAATTGTAACTGTTTCATTTGGCAAATCAAGATGTCACAATGTTCGAAATATCGGTCGTTTTGAAAATTGCAAAAAAGCGGTCTTATTACTATGCCAAAACAGCCAGTTTGTGACGTTCTTTTTAGTAGATTTTAACTAATTTTAACATAAATCTTGTTGTCAAATGTTCTAGATAAATAATAACAATGGTGTTGGTGCACAAACATAATTAGCCCAACTGATTCGGTATGCGATATTGTGGTATTTTAAATATTTTGATAGTTATCGGTTGTTTTTATAGATGCGAATACCGTACACTGCACGATGATCTCAAACAATTATGCTTTCGAATCAATATTTACCGCACAAACAAGATAAGACAAATATTTGCAATTCTTTCCACTTATATTTCGGCCAATTCAACACTATCTTCATTTTCCATTTAAAACAGTTTTCAGATAGAACACGTTTGACATAGCCAATTAAAGTAATTGTCAAGTATTTCCCATGAATTCTTGCTCAATTTTTCAACGAAAAAACACACACATTTAAATTGGAATTGAATTGTTAAATGACGTTGGTTGTAATAATCTAAGAAAAGTCGCCATAACATCGTTTTTTCGAATGTTTATTTATGTTTTATTTTAATGTGTCTTGCATTTGTTAATCTTAAGTATCTATCATTCATTTTCTCTTTTTTTTTCGCTGAAAGCTTATTCGTTCGCTCACTTTGATTGTGCATATTTGTGAGTATGTTAATTTATATGGATTGCAAATATATTTTTTTTCTTCTGGTTGCTTTTCTCTTTATTTTAGCTCTCGTTCAGTGAATCCGCTGGACAAAATAAACACAGAGCAAAAAAAAGAAGAACAAAATGCTTAAGAAAGTGCGCATATTTGGTTTGAGTGCGAGTATGTGAGCGAACACGCCAATATATTTAAGCCAACAGCGAGTGTCTATTTTCAGAGCACGGCGCGCGCACCAAACTCACAATTGTTCGCCAATTCAGCCAGAGCAAGCGATAAGTGTAAGAAGATCGTGAACTTATCAACGTAAAAGGCGAGTGAGCACGCGCTCTCACTCGTACACACACCTCACCAATTTATTTTGTTTCTCTTTTAGTTATATGCGTTAAATTAAAACGTTGGTCCGAAAGCGCGAACCCACCACCATCGAATGACGACGACAACGGCGACGACACACATTCTCGCTGCCTTTTCCGTTCTCTCACATCTCTCGTACACCGTTCCAATGTATATATTCTGTTTGGCTGTGTTCTGTTCTGTTTCTGCTCTCTTCTTATTCTTTTACCTTGTGCACCTTCTGCCTTCTTCTCAGCCCGTTTCTACTTTGTGCAATTCTTCCAATGTGTGCTGGTGTGCCTTCGCTTTTGTCGTTCTGTGTTCGATAAATGAGGCAAACACAGGCAATGACAACACCAACAACAGCAGCAATAACAACAACAATACACAAAAAACAAAAATAATAACCATCATCAAAAGTAAGAAAAAATAAAATAAAAGAAGAAGTAGTGTATAGAGAATGAAGAATGAAGATGCGATGCGAACTAGCCGTTATGGTAAATCGAAGTGTAATACCTTAACTGCTTTAGCACACAGAACACTTTAAAAAGGTATATAAGAACCTCTGCAATCACCGATTGAGCAATATTCTTAACCGGAACGAGACGCGTTGCGGTAGTCCCATGTTTTATTAAATTAACCGAAATCATTCCGACACTTTTTCGCGCTGGAAAAATTTGCAAACCAATAATAAAAAAATAGCCAACACTTGGACAACAAATTACACGAGACAACGAAGTAAACGAACAAGAAAATAAGAAAAGAATTTTACAAAAAAAAAAATAAGAGCAAAACAAACAAAAGGCAAACAGTTCAGTGATTACCATTAGTTGTGGAAAAAGTTTCAATTTAAATCAATCGGATATAAAGCATTGCTTAATCAATTCCATTCAGTTTGAAACTGCTTAACGATAATCGTGGTAAATAAAATGAGTTCTTTTCTTTAGTTTATCTTCTATCTGATAAAAAAATTTCCTACTCTCTCTGTTATTGAAAATATTCGGAAAAAAAAAATCAAACTAAATTTAAACCACAAAATAACAGCAAAACTATTTAATCGAATGGTGCTTTGTTGATTGTAATTTGATTGAATCGCTTGATCCCAAATAAATAATATTTATTTATTTTTTGGATTTCGAAAATACCAAATGTATTGCATGTCGCCAAAATACACTGAGAAGCGATGTAGAAAATGAAGAGAGCGAGAGAGAGAGAGAGTGAATAAAATTGCGCTGAGTCAAGAGAAAAGTGCTTATATTGTTAAAGTGGAATAAATAATGAACCAATGTCGACAGGAATGAAAGCTAAAAGTGTAGGACAATCGAGTTTCTTAAAGAATGAACGAAAAGAGAATCGCGACGCATACTTCGAAGTAAAAATAATCAACGTTTTCCATTTGGATAGCACTTTACTTCGATTGTTTTAATCTCGGTGGTTTTTTTTCGTTCGCCGTTGATTTTATTCTAGTAGGAAATTCCATAAAATCGAATATTTCACATTCATTCGATCCTATGCTCAACATCAATATTTGGATCGTCGCGCTGTATTTTTCTATTTCGTTTTCCTTTGCATGGTGAATTCCATCATTTTCATTTTTCGCTTTTCTTTTTTGTTCGATTACCATTTGTTCTTGTTTTTTTTTCTATCTTCCATCTTTTGATGAGTCTTTCAATGCGTTCAAAATGTACTTCGTGATCTGGATTTTAAGTAAAGTTTGTCGAAAGCAATGTCAGCATCGGTGTGGCAAACTCACGCAAATGCACACAATAATCCAACTGGTGATTCGATGCCGTTAAGATTGTTCTAATTAACTTAATTCTCATTTCATATTGTAGAGAGATTCGCGTAACGAAAATCGAATCAAAATAAATAAATTAATTATGTGCACAAAAATATACATTTTTAACTATAGAATTGGCATAAACATATTTTGTTCGCACTTTTTTTTTCGTAGAAAGAATATTCGATTAGGTCGGCACATTTTCATATCATTTTTTTTTATCTCTTTCCTCCATTTTCTTCTATTTATTGTTGTTTTTTGCTGGCCTAATGGATGGCAGCGATGTGCTTTTATACAATTTCATACAAAAAAAAACGCGATTCGCAAGCCAAAAAGCAACGCGCATAAAAAATAATTGTTCAATTGGGAATGTGCATTAGAGACCAAAATAGATATAAAAAAATTGTATGAGCCGCATATTAAATGGATGTATAACCAAAAACTGAATGCAATCATGTTCAGAACGTTTATGTCGAGATCCATCCGCCAAAAAGAGCGAAAGCACTCACTCTCGAGGGCGCGCACATACAAATAAAATAAACGGCATAAAGAAGGAAACATTAAGAAAATAATAGTGACAAAGCCGGCAATAAATTTTCAGCTCATATCTAGTCTAGTCGCTCTAGTTCTATCTTCCTTACAATTCATTCCATGAGCATTTTAAACATCTTTTGTTTGCGATCACCACCAATAAGAACAACAACGAATGCCGAATCAAATGGCGAACTGGGAATGCAAGCCCATATTGTTATAAATATATTTCTAGATTCTTTTTTGTTTTGCATTTCATTTTTGGCGAAATAAAAACGAAATTTCGTTGTTTTCGTTGATGCTCGAAATTTTTCTACGCCAATTTATTCAATTTTCTTGCTTGAGTGTATGGTTATATTTTCATTTTCACGAATTAAAGCGAATAAGGGAAATGAATGCAGTATTTTGTTCAAGTTTTAACACATAGATTCAAATTTTTCTGTGCGAGAAAAAAAGCACGAAACAGAATATGCGGAGTGTGAGTGTATGTGTGATTGAATGTGTATGTGTGCTCAAAAATGAATAGTTGTTTGTGAATTTGTGTGTACGTGTGGTTTGATCACATCAGACTATTTCCCATCGTGCATCTCACTCTTGGCCAAACATAGTTCGTTCGTCTTTTTACCAAAGCAATTCTTTCTATTTTCGCTAGTTCAACTTTCTCTTTCTCTCTTTTCACGTTTTCTCGCCTCCCTCATTTCGTTATCAATTTGAAGTTTAAGAAACGGGAAGAACTACGAAGTGAAAATATACAAACTAAGGAATATGTATAAAATGCATGGATGCAGAATGCACAAGAAAAGAAAATAAGACATTGTTTTTCTCATTTTGCTGAAGCTCGTTCGTTATTCTTCACGAGACGAAGTTTTTTTCCCATTCGCCAATAGTTTTGTTATGTTTAGATTTCTTCTTGTTTTTGGTTTGTGCTTTGTTCTTTTTTTAATGTGCTGTTTCTCTCGCTCTCTCCTCTCCGTCTCTCTGATTCTTTATATTTTCTTCCTTTCTCTTGTCCTTTGTGTATTTTGTAGTATCTGCGCTGCAAGCGTTTGAAATAAGAAAATTCGTCTCGATAAGATTCGAGAGCCAAAGTTCGTTCGCTGGTGCTTTTTTTTATATTTTTCTCGCATTCGTCTGCTTCTGTTCTATCTGGAGAGATTCTTTTCAACATGAAGAATATATCTGTTGAAAAGAGTTGCACAAACATATGCATCTGTATCCGTTTATAACTTGTAAATACGTGCGTTTTGGTCAGCAATCGCCATATTCAACATGAAATCGGAACAACTTACTCACACACTCATTTATACATATACAAATACTTCCAATAGAAATCCGAGCAGAAAAAGAAGTCCAAAAACCGAACCCATAGCGATCTTATTGAGTAAAAGTATGGACATATGAGAAAAACTACGTTGCGTTTTCTTTTCGATTTTTGTTTCCAAAACATTGGCGATCCTTAATGACTGTTATTGTTGTTGTTTCATTGGAAATACGTGATGCCAATTTAAATACGATATTTTTGCTGTTATTTTCCCATTAAATTTTCAGGTTTATATCAAAAGATTTAAAGATAAACGAACACATACAAACACATGCATTATATATAATTTTATTTCTCCTAATTTCTTTTTTGTTTGTTTTTTTTTTTTTTTTTCATTTTGTTCTATTTTGAAGCACAAAAACTTTTGGTGGAAAAACTAGAGATATTGGAGAGAGGAGCGAGGACGATAAAAACTGAATAATAAAAATACTTTCACGACGAGCAACCCTTTTCCGTTAATTTGCCATTAAACAACAGTTGTTGAGATTCACAAAGTCGAGTAAGTAGAAGAGATAGAAAAAAAATAACACACAACATTTTAGCATCAAACAGATTTTATTATTTCCTTTTGGATCTTATTGCACACATAAACTCACATGCCGAACATAAATAAGGCCAAATAAGGAAAGAAACGATTTACAACTTTGACAAGTTGTGTGTGTTGCACTCCTGTCGAATTAAACACAATATTTATGACGAAAAATATGGAAGCTCATCTCTTTAGCTATGATAAAAATTTCTTTATTTTTGTGTGTTTTGGTTCGTTTTCTTGATGTGCGACTAATTTAAATTTAATGATAATCATTTATTTTGCCATCTCTTTCTTTCGACAAAAAAAACTTTCGTTTCCCTTCATTTGCATTTTTCAATAAATAGGAAAAAAACATGGTGTATCGTATTAGTTTGCATATCAAATATCACGTCGAAGACATCAGAACATTTCGTGCATGGTTTTTCGCTACTTCATTTTCTTATATATATATATTTTTCCTATTTACGATCGTACGTATATTTTCCATTTCGCTGGCATCTATATTAATTTACGTTTTTTTCTTCTTCTCTACTTCATAACTAATGGAATAATTTTTTGAAACTCACGCGCGACCACACATAAGGGAATATATTCCACGAATTTTCATCTTGAACTTTTCATATATACGTCTTTTTTCCCCATTGAGTTAAATTAAATTTGCGCATTTGATCTGAATATTTGATAAGTTAAAAATGAAGTAACTTCTTTCGTGTGTTTTTTTCTTCGTTTGCATTCGCACCATATTTTTGGATTTAAATATTTCACGCAATTTTTTTTTAGCTGATAGGTCTCTCTAATATACTTCGATGTTGCATTTATTTCGATTCGTTACCATAATCAATATCGTCTAAACACCCGCAAAATTCTCGAAATGACAAAAGTTCAATGAATCTCTTGAAATGAATACGCAATGAGAGAGCGAATGAATCGTTCTACTGTAAAAAAGTAATAAGAAGAGAAAAAAAACGAACCAAAAAGGAGAAAAAGAAAAATTGCAAGATCCATTTTCCAATCTTTTTGCCATCAACTGTTTGGTTACATTAATTATCGCTTTATTCGTCCACTTTTAGTGGGAACCGTACGAAACAAAAAGCGAACAAAATCACCAATGTAATTAAAAGTTTGAATTCGAATCTTCTTTTCATTTACATCGTGCAGCGTTACTTTAAATTACTTGCCGATACTTTTTCACCCGAATTTTAAATCAAACACAACTTAGTTTTGAGGAAAGAAACGAGAAACAAACAACCAACAACAACAAAAAAAAATCGAAAATAAAAAGAATGGCGCGTACGAGTGCGCTTATTAATATGATTCTTTGAGTTGAACATTGATTTATGCCAATTCGTAAACGGAAGATCGTTAAATGATGATAGAAATGAGTACAAATAAGTTTCTGTAGAATAAAAGTGTATATTATGTTTATAAAAATGTGCACAGTGATAAGAAGAGACTGTAAGACAGAAGACTCATAACATGCTCATATTCTAAACTAAATTTGCGACTTCGAACGAAATGAAATGACGTAATTTTCTCTTAAAATAGAGAAATTGTATGGTGTCGCAAATTGTATTTTCCATTGAGTAAACAAAATAGAATATTTTCCATAAACAACCACATCCATTTTGTGTGCAATTGTAATTAAAAACTACAGAATGTTAAGATAATTTTCGAAAAGTTAATCGAGATAAAGAATACTAGATGCCATTTCAAAGAGATTTGATTATTTTCTAGCTCTGAGGAAAATGAAACCAGCTTAAAAATTGTTTAAGCATTTCACTGGTTCTATATTGCACGCAAAAACCACTAGTTTGCAATTTTTCGACTCAAATAATTCAGAAATGTTATGCGAAGTTGTGCGTATGTGTATGTTTGCGTACATGCAAATATATAATTTTATTTTCTTTGAAATAATCACATTTGTATGGCTTTTTATGCTTTGCATTTCAAGTTTCAGTTTCATTAAAGCAACAACGAAAGAGAGATGAAAAAAACAGACACACACACACACACACACACACATACCAAGAATCTTATTAAAGTTTTATTGCATCCATGACAATGACACTTTTACTATAAAGATGCTGAAATGCGTGTGCCTACTTGTTCTTACGCTTCTTTGTACATAGGTAAACATGATTCAAGTTGAGGCTTGCATATGTGCAATGGCATTCATTAAACGAAAATATTTGTGTTTTATAAAACAAATAGCAAATAGAGATAATGTAATTGAGCACACATATAAATTGAGAGAGAAGGAGAGATCCAGCGGAATGGAACGGGTGATGGTGATAGTTTGCGTGGTATGCCTGCTATATAATATCATTTTGCCCGTTTACCTTTGCAGCGTCGAACATGTTTTGCAGTTGAACAAGTTTGGAAATGAAAATGGAAATTTATAACGATTTTGTTTACTTCGTTTCATTTGTCATGTTTGTTTGTATCGATCGCGAGCATGGCAGAGAAAATATGCTATTTTCACGCTGACTATCTCCACAATATAGTTGTCGGCGGCGGCGGCGTCCTGTTTCCGTGCACATGTATGTGTGTACTATATCAATAAATAATTTACAAAGCTAATATTTAATGCTAAATCACACGAGTAAGTGCATTGAATTAAAAAAAAAGAGTTAAATTGACACTGAGCAAGCGCAGCAACGGCCAAAGTGTAAATGACCTCTTCTCTTAGTTAATTTATTGTCATTGCTACTTTTTTATTTGCCTGTCTTCTTTTTTTGCCAATAACCACAACCACCGCAATGCAATATACTAATTTGCTTAATCTCATCTACTTCAAATGCGATCACTTAATTGGCGATGCACACAAAGTCTCTAAATTGCTATTCTCATTTCTGCAATGCATCGTGAATATTTTTATGCATCGTGAAATGCGCGTATTTTGATTTTCACTTTTCACATCGATTCCTTTTAAAATGCAAATACCATTTTTATTAGGTGCCATAAAATCGTGTATATGCGCGCGCGCACTCATATACACACTTGCATGCACGTTAAAATCCATGCACTTAAATCAATAAACACATTAAAATCAATTTTATGTTTTTATTGACTAACGTAATATTCCGTTCCATTCAGTATGGTACATGCAGAGGAGTGAATCAAGAAAGAATCTCACACGTGCTTAATGTTATAACGTGAAGAATGTGCATTATATTTTAATGTGTTGATGCGCGAATTGTAAAAGTCGCGAACACTCACGAGCGCACGTTCACACACCACCAATACGGTCACTTTCTAACGAACGTACACAAATTTCCGTTCGATTTTATAACTACACACGGTGTATGATATAATGAGTTAATGCTCAGTCAATCACGCCAACATAATTATGTGTGTACCGGCATAATATACGACCTTGTCCGCGTTATTTTTTTATTATTTTGCTCTCATCATATTCTTTCGTCGTCTTATTTGCGATTTCTCCTTTTCACTCGTTCTTTCTTCACTTGCATGTTCATTTCTTTTGTGTGTCATGCCGTTTTACCTGCACTTTCTACTTCAGGCTGCCGTTTTCTTTTCTTTCTTTTTTTTTGTGTACGTTTCAATTGAATGGGCCCGTTCCTTACAGATTCGTTACTGCGATTTCGAACGAATTTATATCTGATGGAGAATGAGAAGAAAAACAAGATTTTAAAAATGTAAAATGCCAATGCACTTACTGCCTCGTTAACCGAAAGATTGAAATCCAGAATTCACCATGTTACGATTTTCATGTCATTCCATGGCACGATGAAAATAGAAAGCCCAGAATGTTGTAACTAATTAAAGAACCGCAAAATAAACGTTACAGAATATTCAGCAGAGAAAATAAAACATTTAAAATTCTTTTCGTCTTCAATTCAGAATTATTATTATACAAATGAAGACAGAAAAAGAAGTAAGTGATTTTATTTTTCTGCATTCGTCGATGATGTCAAGAGGATCCAATAAATGGCCAAACTTAAAAATGAACAGTTAATTTGACACACAAACAAAGTTACACACAGCAGAAAAAAAAGAGTCCAGAGAATAAATAGCGTTACGAGTGTAATCAAGTTCGATGAAAGAAACAAAAAAAGTAGGTGTGTATGTAGACATTTTTGGTATTCACATCATTCGACCGGTACTCTTTTGACCAGCTGAATAACAAACAAAATGTGTGCCATGTGAGCCTTTGTCGAATAAACTTCGAAACGAATTGATGTTGTTGTTCTTGTTTTTTAATGGTCACAATTTGTTGGGTTTTTCCCGTCTCGTTCTCACTCTTTCTGTTTGAAAATGTTCAAGTGTACATTTAAGTTACGCAGAGAGCAAAAATGAATCAGCTGTCGAGTATAATTCATAAATATGTGGGGCATGATATTAATGGCGATGGTCCTTCACTAGCCCAACAAAGGCATATTCTGTTGAGGCATATGTAGTCATGATAAAATTTAACGAGTTCACTCGAATCAAGTGTCATTTGTTCCAGCGGTTGGTAATTTCTCTCTCTCTCTCTACCGTTTTTTTTTCTCTATTTGAATACATATTTGATGGCGATGCGGAGACTTTGTAACCAAAGCAATGATAATCGGTACAAGTAGGCCTAATGCGTTACCATATTGGTTCGGTTTAAATAAGTACCATCATGACGCACATATTTTTATTTGAATCTCTTTTACCAGAAAAGCCAAATTGTAATCACTGACGATTATATTCAATTCAAGTATTATGACCACTGTATGGTCAGGCATTCATGCATACGCACATTGTAAATATAAAACGCGTATTAGACAAATACACACATGGTGGCATACTACTAAGAGATAGAGAGAGAGAGAAAGGCACAAAGAAGAAAATGCTATAGAAATTAATGTTCTGAAAATATATAGATTGTTTTCTAAAAACCAAACCACAAAACAAACAATCACACTCTATAAATGGTGTATGCGTAAGATTGAAATGAGAATGTCGTGTACAGATTTCAA